CTTGGAAAGAACTGGAAAACAAACCGGCTGGTGATGCAGGCAGCTCAGGCCCAAGTTTAGTGGATGTTGCAGCCCAGATTGCTGACCCCTAAGTTAAGCAAATACCACCTGGGGAAATCCAGGCTGGCCTTAGGGTGACGCTGGTCGCCAGTCCTCTCACACTCCAGACAGCCACACTCTGACAACCACAACCTGTTTCCTCCTTCTTTCACGGGTAGCTGAGCTCACTTAGGTCAGGGCCACCCCAAGCTCAGAAGAGGCAAAACCCTCAGGAAGGAAGTGAAACGACTTCTTCCAGCTCAGCCCGGAATATCAGCAACGGAGGGGGGCCGTGGGAACCCCACGATAGCACAGGCTTTGAAGCGCATGTCCTGGATTCAGTCTTGTAAGCTGTGTGTCCTTGAACACGTTGCTTAGCCATTCCTAGCCTCAGTTTCTTTGTCAAATGAGGAGTGGGAGGATGAGATGAGATGACATCATACCCGAGTTTGGCTTTTAGCAGCTCCTTCACAGTGACACGTGCCATACCATATCCCCGTGCCACATTAAATAATAGATTATTATTATTATTATATAATAATTGAGAGTGCCCGCAGTGGCCAGGCATTGTAACGAATCTCAAAAGTCATAAAATGATGATAAGTATATTTTAGATTTTATGCTCACTTAGCAACTTTCTTATTGCTTTGGTAGTCATATCTCTTTGCATTTTTACCAGAACTGGGTAATATTCCGCAGGACACATTTCACTACCCTTTCAAATATGAAGAAACTAAGATTCTAGGACTTTAAATAAATTAGCCAAAGTCCACCCACCTAGCTACTCAGGAAAAAAAATAGGAAAAAAATGATTCTTCATAACTCCAGTTCCAACGTTCAAGGACATGATAATGCCATCACGAGATGAGTCTCTATAGGCGATTACAACCAACTCAGAAAGGATGGAATCCAAAGGGGGCAGAATGAGTCAGAAAGGGGAAACCATGTTAGTTAGAACTATGATTGCATGTCTGATCAAGTCGTCTATTTCAATGCCCGCTACGGACAAAAGCCCTCAGGAGAACAGATGCAGTAGAGAACTCTTCAGGAGAGAAGAATCCAGGTGAGATATATATTTTCAAATGCATTTGTCCCAGAAAACGTTTTGTGCATGTCAGGTGCCATGTCAAAATACAGTCACAAAGAAAACACACGGATTCACTTCTGAGGAACTTATCAGCCAGCAAGGCGGACAAGCAAGGATCAGATAATCACACAGAGGTATACACGGTCATCCTTCAGTATCCATGGGGCACTGGCTCCAGGATCCCTGCAGACACCGAGTCTGCGAGTACTCAAGTCTCACCTGTAGTACAGCATGGTGTTCCCATAAGTGTACACCTCCTCCCAGATGCTCCCAATCATCTTGAGATTGGTTGCTTTACCTAATACACTGTGAGTGCTGTAGAGATTTGGGGGAAGGGGTTGGGAGTAATGGCAGAGAAAGAAAGTACGTCTGTGTTCAGTCCTGTCACAGGCTGTTGCTCAAATGCTTTTGATCCATTGCTGAGTGGATGCGTGGGTGTGAAAACAGCACACACGGGAAGCTGACTACAATCACAAACTGAGATACGTGCTATGAGAGAGACATGTCAGGTGTGTACCGGGAAAGCGTCTAACCCATGGAACCGGGCCGGTAACAGGGAAGAATGCTTGAGGCCCACTCAAGAAACCCTGTAGGCACAAGGGAACATGGGCAAAAACCCAGCAGTAAGCGCTCAATGCTCGAGGAAGGGGAAGAGGGCAAGGAGTCTTGGGAGATGACACAGGAAAAGGGTAATGGGGAGGCTGCTAGTGACCAGACCAGTCTGGACCTTGTAGGCTGTGGTCGGATTCTGAGTTTTTGTCAAAATTCATATGCAGGCTGAGTGTTGGTGGCACAAACCTTTAATTCCAGCACTTGGTGTTATGGTTGTCACTTTAAGAGACAAGCCACGCCCACACCCAGCGGACCCCCCCCCCCCATCTTGATTTCTCACTGTTCTCTTTTGGCGCCCGCACTTCCTCTCTCCTGCTCCCCCTTCTCTGTCTCTCTCATCATCTTCTCCTTCTCTCCCCCTCTTTCCTCTAAGTAATAAATATCCAATTCTATTCTGTACGATGTGTCTGTCCATGTGCCTTCTATCCGCCGCCTGCTCACACTCCTGGGCTCGCTGAGACCAGCCTGCCCGCCATGTGTCTCCCCGCCTGGGACCAGCCACCACTCGGGGACCGATAGCCATCTCTGCCTGGGACTAGCTGCTCTGTGGGCCCACTGCCTACTGCCGCCGCCGGGGATCTTGCAGCATTTTTAACAATTGGGAGACAGAGGCAGGTGGATCTCTATGAGGTCGATGCCGGACTGGTCTACAGAGCGAGTTCCAGGACAGGTTCCAAAGCTACAGAGAAACCCTGTCTCGAAAAACAACAAAACAAAACAAAAAATTCGTATGCTGAAAACTAAGCACAAGTATGAGCATAGTGAGAGGGAGTTCTTGGGGGTGTGAGAGGGTCCCTCAGGAATGTGACTAGTGCCATCATAAAGGACGTCAGAGAGAAAGATAGCTCATCCCTTCCAGTATGTGAGCTAGAAAATGTCACTCTGAGACAGGAGCCTCACCAGACACAGAATCTATTGGTGTCTAATCTTGGTCTTCCTCTGGAAGCCTCTAGAAATATGAGAACTGACTGCCGTTATTTGCAAGTTCTCTGGTTCACGATATTTTGTTGAGCTTCAATGCTGTTAAAGAGCCTTCATGGAGGTGGAGCCTAGAAAAGACTGAGAAAAGAGAATTGGAGAGGGGGTTCCTTGGTCATAACAATGGGAACAAGTCTGGTTGACTTCAGTATAAAGCTAGTGTGCTGGAAGAAGACAGTTCACATCAGAGGGAAGGCCCAGAGAAGGGCAGAGGCAAAGGCTATGCCATGAACTGGCACAGCCAGGAAGGGCCCACTCTTGGTAGAGCAAAGGGCTCCATTACTCTCCAGCCCTCAGTCACTTCTCTCGAGATTCCAGCTCTCTAGGGGGCAGATCTGCAGGCACAGAGCTTGGCTTGCCCGCCCACTTCACTGTGGCCAGACGGCACTCTTAGACTGACAGTTTCTCAATAAAACAGTTCCTGAGAGGGAAGGGGTTTTCCCAAAGGGAAGTCACAAAGAAACTGGGGGACATTCCCAAAGAATTTAGAAGGAATTCTAGACAAAAACTTACTCACTGGGCCAGGCGGTGGTGGCGCACATCTTTAATCCCAGCACTCGGAAGGCAGAGACAGGCAGATCTCTGTGAGTTCGAGGCCAGCCTGGGACAGGCTCCAAAGCTACAGAGAAACCAAAAAACAAAAACAAAAAACCTTACTCATCAGGAGCTTGAGGTATGGCTCTGTGGTAGAATGCTTACTTGTCTAACATGCATATCACTCCAATTTCTCTCCTCAATGTAAAGAGTGCCCATCAAATGTCTCCCGCAGGTTCTAAAGAAACATCTATAGGGTCATCAGGTTCAAGCTGGAGGTTCCGGGGGTCTCACTGAGCAAGTGATCTATTTCTGGCCGCAATTTGTCAAGGGGACAGGCCATCTGGAAGGTTGAGAGAGAAGTAGAGAAAGAAGCTTCCAGATGGCACCTTCAATGAGGCCACACATCATAAAAGCTCTCCCCCAGGCTTTGTTCTCTGACTCATCTGTAGCTTTCGAAGAGAGAGCAATCACATGAAATATCTAAGCCACCAAACATGGGAAGAAATGGCAGGAGAAAGTGACGACGAATCCTACCAAGTCATCAAAGTTACTGCTACGCTCATCCAACGAGGATGAAGGCTGGCCGCAAGTGCTCCCTTCTTAGGGAGAATAAAGAAGCTGTCTCTGCTGATTGTAGATGAGATTCTGCAGGACAACACACCAAGGAAACTTAATTGTGGGGTCTACAAATGGGTCCAGAGGAAGGCGGTGCCCCAGTTAAGCAAGAACCATGTCTTTCCAGAAGATCTACCCGTTAGAATGGCAAGGCAATTTCCTTCCTGAATTGGCAAGCTTTGTCCAAAATGTGCTAATTCAACATGTAGTTCTCACAAGACAAACATTTTAATGTGGATTGCAATATCTTAAGAAACCCACAATGCTTCAAAGAAAGTAGACATTGTGAAAGCTCTGAAGATAAAAGCTGTTCAAGAGCTGGGCATCACGGTGAAACAGGGCGTCTCTATTTGCGTCCTGGGCAACACACTCCCTGAAGCCCAGTTCTGGTGTCTTTGCACTGGTCGGAGACTCCACCTTAACAGTTCCTGGAAAACATCCTTCTGTTCTCATGGAGACTTCCTTGGCTGCATTTAAATGAAAGCTTTTTGGTGCAGTAAGAACGTTTGATTCTAAAGATAGATGAAGCTGTGATAGGTAATGTGTCAAATGTTCAAAACATCACTGCCAAAATCTAGAGTTGTCTGCTTTTCAGCACGCCTGTCATTTTCGAACATGCCACTCCCATGCGAAGCGAGCTGATGAATTTACAATGAGAACCTAGTGAATGTGGGACATGGAGATGGCTCTGTGGGCCAGAGGGCCTGCCATGCAAAAACGAGGACTCAAGTTCAAGGCTTCAGAATCTATGTGAAAATCCAGGCATGCTCACACATGCCTGTAACACCAGTGTCATCAGCCAGGGTGGGCAGACATAGGAAGATCACTCAGTTTGCTGGCTGCCAGCATAGCTCCAAATTCAGTGAGAAACCTTGTCTGTCTCGGGGTGATAAAAATTGGGGTGATAAAACGAAGTGTGTTGAGCAGGGTTCCAGACAGCCTCCTCTGGTCTCCATGTGACTCTCTGACACACACACACACACACACACACACACACACACATACACACACACACACATATGTCTAAATAAAGAAGAGCTGAGTGTCCGTTAAGAATAAGTAAAGGAAAGGCTGAACTGACTCCTTAAAATGAACCTCCCACCCTCCCTCCCTGCTGATGGCTTCTGTCATATCTGTGTGCCATCTCTATGACTGGTTCCTGACTATTGATGGACCAGTTACCTTAATTTTTACTTTGCCTCATCAAAAGCAATATTATCGTTATTGTCCAACTATTTCCCATGCATGTTATCGTGAAGAGCTAACTAATAAACTATGACTTGACCGCCACGAACTGACAGATCTTCTCGTCTGCATTCAAGTCTTCAGGGTGAGGTTCCAGGACCCCCAGGTATAGAAATCAACAGATGGGGGACTGGGAAGATGACTCAGTGGTTCAGAGGACCGAGGCTCCATTCCCAGCACCCCCATGGCAGCTCACAATCATTTGTAACTCAAGTTCCAGGAGATTCGAACCCTCTTCTAATCTCTGCGGGCACCAGGCATGCATGCAGTGCACTAACATACATGCAGATAAAATAGTCATTAACATAAAATAAAAATAAATCTTAAAAACATCTGCAGGTATCTAATAAAATGGTATTTGCATATAACCATATGCTTTAAATCATTCTCGGATGACATATAATACCTAATGCATGGTCAGTGCTATGTAAGTAGTTGTTACAGCATTTAGGGAATGACAAGAAAGAAATCTTTACTTATTAAATCCAGATGTAACTTTTCCCCCTAACACTTTTATTCCCAATTGATTAAATTTACAGATCGGAAGGCTGAATATTCCATCTGTGGCCAGTGAAGTGGGACCATGGTCAGCGGCTCAGGCCCTACCACATTCCATCCCCACAGGTGGATGGAGGCAGCTTTACCCCCAAACACGTGGCTGCCAGAGCATAAAACAAAGGAAAGGGCTCATGTAGACCTAGCCAGTATTTTCATGCTGCAGGTGAGTTTCCATGCTCTGTCTGGCCCGTTATCTCCTGCAACATTCTCTGTGCCTTATACTAACCCCAAGATGAAACTCTTCTTCTGAGTCCCCAGAGAAAACACCACTGCCTGGAGGTGTGGGGGCCGGCCTGCGACGCTGCGCATCTCAGCGCGTGTTCGGTAACTCATGTCAGGCATTCCGTTTCTTAAGTTTCTGGGCTACCCTTGTGCATCCTGTTTCTTATGTTTCTGGGTTAGCCTTGAGACTGGAATTTTCTCACAAGCCATACTTGAGTCTTGAGCCCTAGGCTGCCACCTTGCAATTAGGGTTTTGTTGTCTAGCTCTCTGTTTTCTGAGATTGAGAAAACAGCCGACTGCTGTCTGTTTGAGTTCCCCCTTTGGTCAAACGTTTCTTAAGGCTTTTACTCTCTTTAAAATGAGTTCCTTGCCTTTAGTTTCTGTGCAGGAATTTTTCAAATATTCTGGAGATAGTTTTCCCTTCATATCCAGTGCAGATTCTGGGATCCCACAACCTCCTGCAAAGGCCCAACTCCACAAACACCCGAGTGCCTATGGGAAATGGCTTATTTGCATACAATCTGCACACATCTTCCCACATCCTTGAAATCATCTCAAGATTATTTATACCACCGAACACAGATAGACGCCACACAGTGGTTGCCATGTCGTGGTCTCGAAGGCTGGCACGAGACATCTATATTTGTGCAATACAGCCACCATTTTTATAAAAAACACATTTGATCTACATTTGGTTACAGCACCGGATGCAGACCCTGTGGACACTAATTTCTGCTTTTTATTTTTGTCTGGTTGGGGGCTTTTTGGGGATATCAACACCATTAGTTGAGTAATTGTAGGCACCCCCTTCCCACCTGTGATTAGAAGCTTCACTTTCTTAGTGTCTCACGTACACAAAGGCTCACCACCTTAGCACAGCTCTTAGGGCATGTGGACAGCTTGCAGTGAGCTTACAGAACCCATTTTCTTATCTAATCACTTCTCAGGCTTTGGGCCAAGACAAATTAAGAAGTTATTCAGACATCTTCCTGTATGGCGTTCAGTGAGTTAGTTATCACCACCCAACAGCTCCACCCATACACCAGTGACTGAAAACAAAAACTCTCCTCACTCGGGCTCACTGAGTTCTGGCCAACGTCTGCCGGTTAGCTCACCTACGCCTGGCTAGGTTCTGGGGGCCGGGGTGGCTGTGTTTGGCTAGGGGAGTGTCACAGGGAAGCTGTGCTCCCAGTGTGTCTCAAGCCTCCAGACTTTCATTCTAGAGCTTATACCGTCGGGTCTCCTGGTGCTCAGGCCACTGGACCTAAAGGAGATCTATATACTGTGCTCTCCAGGCTTGGCAGGTCGGCCAAGACCTTGAATCTTTTAAAACCACGTGATTTTTCTCTCCAGCGGATTTCCTGCATAAAGACACAATGCCTTGCGCACACAGACATTCTTTAGAAAGTAGAAGGACATAGACACTGATCATCTTAGTCTTGCTCTTTGAGGCTAAAATTGAAACTTATAGACAAGAAGAAAATCATACTAAAATGATTCTGTATTCTTAGTCCGTATTGCTTTTTGATTTATGTAATGAAAGAGAGGACGCGTGGAGGTCAGAGGACCACTCGTGGCGGTCATTTCTCCCTTCCCACCATATGGGGCCTGGAGGATCAAACTGGGGTCATCAGGTTTGGCAGCAAGTGCCTTTGCTCACAGAGCCGTCTCGCTGGCCCATATTCTGTCATTTTTAAAGGTGTCTTTTCAATCCATATGATTCCAATGGGAATCACCTATAAGGCAGAATAAATATTTAGATTTAGTAGTCAGACCTGAGTGCATTCTGTCCCTCCCCTCTCTGCCCTTGCAAAAGTGAAAGTAAAGTAGGTCGGTTGTTCCCTCACGGTCTGTCTGTCTGTCTGTCTGTCCGAGCCTTCCAGATCATTCTGCTTCTGTGTCTCTTTCTCCTGAGTCTCTGCCCCGCCTCTCGGCCCACCTGTCCCCACACACATATAAACAATCCTTTCTCTCAGCAGCAAATACCAGAAGCTTTAAATAAAAAAATGGCAAAAGGAAGCCTGAATGCCACTGGAAAAAGATTGCAAAGAGGAGCCCAGCAACCGGTGACCATGGTGACGCCGTGTAATCAGCAAACCCAGGCCCTTGCTGTCCTTCCTCCTCTGGGCATTCATGAAATGGTTGGTTTAGAAACCCCAAGCCCACAGACTGTTTTCCAGCAACATAGCAACCGCGGCGAACTGGGCAGTCAAAACTACTGTGACCTGATTATCAAAACCAGAGTTATGACAGCAGGCCACCCAGCTGCCTTGCTTAGCAGCAAGGTACACTGGCTATCTGAGGTATCTCCTCTGTTAAATCCAAAATGTTGTGTGAAATACATCAGCACTTTATACACACACACACACACACACACACACACATACACATCTCACACACACATATACATACACACACTTCACACACGCATATGCACACACATACACATAACTCACACACATATACATACACACCAAACCACACACACACACACACACACACACACACACATACACAACACACACACACACACTGCGGAGCAACCACAAAAGGAAGAGAATCTACAAAGGCCAAAACGAAGTGAAAGTAGGCACCTTGGGAAGCAGTCTGGCGGCAAAGCTGCCCTCTGCCCTGAGTTTCTGTTGACTGTTTCCACAGCTTGGGGTTTGTGAGGTTAAGCCTGAAACCCTACTAAAATAGTCTGCTAGGATGCCCCACCCAAACCTGCCCCATTGCAGGAGCTACATTCTCAAGGTAAGAAACAAACCCACTGTGCAAAACAGGGCAAGGAAACACCTGTGTTTGGGTTTGCTCGTGGGCGAGGGAATCTTCCCTGAGAACTCAGCCACATGCCGGCCCTCCAGGGACTCTGCTGTCTGAGGGAAGGTGGTGTCACTACCTTGACATGATCTGCAGAAAGACAAGAAAATTCTCTTGGGGGAAACAAAACTCCAGCTGCAAACTCAAGACTGTCCTACAACTTACTAGGAAAATGAGCAACTTTACCTTGTTTTTAAATTATCTTTTTTAAAAAATCACACAGCAGGGACAGTACAGGCACCAAGCCTGGCGATCTAACACCAGGGCCCACACGATGGAAAAAAGAGAACCCACTCTTGCAAGCTGGCCTCTGGCCCACGTGTGCATAGTGTTAAGTCTTCACAGGTACAAACAGACAAACATCTGTACCAAAAATAAACAATAAATCTCACAATACATAGGCCATAAGGCATTAAAACAGTAGGCAGAAAATTCCACAGGTCACAAAAGCAGATCACCAGGGGCTCAGGGGTTACATTTGGGGAAGTGTGGCAATACCCCCAGTTTGCCTTTGCCTATTTCCTCCGGTTTCTATGTATGAACCAGCGGAGTCTGTGCTCCTGTCTTGATGCTCATTGGCCATATTCCTTGTTCTCTTCTTTGCCCCAAGGTCTATAAGCACATCTTCCCCTTGCACATCGAGAAGGAAATCAATCAGTTAATCAATGAATCAATCAACAGACTCCCACCATCTTGCTCCACCATTTTCACAGCTACATTTCTTGAAAGTACAATCATTGCGACGTCATGCAGCCCATTGTGCCCCACCCAGCCCTTCTACAAAGGCCCTTGCCCAGGCTGTAGAGGCCACCGTGCCCTGAGGCACCAGGTCACCAAACCCACCAGGTTGCCAAACCCGATGAACCGTTACTTACCAGTTATTGCGGAGGCATTGTACAATGTGAGCTCCCTCCTTCCCGAAAGTCTCCTGTCTCAGTTTCAGGGTCACTGCTTTCTTCTGAGTTTTCTCTTACGTCTTTGGTCACTTCTTCCCAGGCTCCTCAAGTGTTTGCTGTGGTTTGTATGGATATCCCCGTCTTGGTTTCTTTTCCTGTAACTGGGATAAAACACCCTGGCGAACACAACTGAACGGAGAAAGGATTTGTTTTGGCTCAGAGTTCAAGGGTACAGAACGACGTGACTCAGATGGAATGGAAGCAAGAGCTTGGGGCAGCTTCTCAGGCCACACCCACAGCCAGGAAACAGCAGTGCAGGCACTCAGATCACATTCCCCGGTTTGTGCAGTCCCGGACCCCTGCACAAGGAATGGTCCTGCCCCGGGTTAAGTGGGTTTTCTTCCATCTATTAACCTGGTAAGATAAGCCCTTGACAGCCTGCCAGGAGCCCAGTGTACCCCTCCCAGCAGCTGTCTCTCTGGTGACTCCAGGTTGTGTCGAGTTGATGTGACAATGATCATCACATCCCCCAAGACTTGCTTGGAAAGTCTTGTTCCCATGCTCGATGCTATTGGTGGGTGGAGTTTACTGAGGGGTCTTCAGGTCTTCCTGGAAAGGGATAATGGCACCCCCACTCTCTTCCTTTCTCCCTCCCTTGAGTGAAGCAGGAGATTTTGCACTGTCCTGGGCTTTCACCAAGACATGCTTCACCGCAGGCCCAAAGCCATGGGACCAATTGTTCAAGGCATATCAACACTGTTCAACAAAACAAAGGGTTCTCTTTCCTAGCTGGTGACCTCAGACGTCTGGTGTAATGGTGGAAGGCTGACTGATGTGCCTCCTCTGCCCACTCGGTGCTGTTCTTAAGTCACTTGGCACCATCTTCACAGGCACAGCCTCCACTCTCCTGGACAAAACGGCCATCTGTCTAGGGGAAAGTGTATCTGAGGGCTGAGGGAACCTTTCCCAAGGGAGCGGCAGCATTAATAGCCCAGAGAGGGCTGACTCAGTCCAGATCCCCCATTCCCAGCTGTTAGGCGGCTGACACTGTGCCTGTGAGAAGTTGTCTGCTTTAAGGAGCTAATGCTTGCCCATCCTGAACCTGACTGTGGGACACTTCCCAAGGGTATAAATGTCCCTGGACCACCAACTCGCAAAATGTGATAGATGTTGAGAGAGAAATAACTACAACACGAATAATAACTATTCCTATAAGTTAAAAGGGTGACAAGCCCAAGCTTTCAATAAGATTGAAGAAAGACCAGTCAATTGGATTAATCATTAAAAATAGTTTCTGCTGCCCAAGGTGGTACACACCTTTTATCCCAACACTTGGGACAGAGAGGCAAGCATATGTGAGCTCGAGACCAGTTTGAGCTACGTAGTGAGTATCAGGCCAGTAAGGACCATGTAGGGAGACTCTGTCTCAAACAATAGAAGGAGGTGGGAGAGGAGAAATAACAACAACAAAATATAACGGAAGTTTTAAATAACAGACAAATCTGTGATGAGGCATTTGATTGGGAAGGAGCGTAAGGAATCCCAGAGTGCTACACAGTTACAATTCTAGTACTCCGATACAGCAGGTCACAAGTTCATGGCCGACCTGGGCCACGTAACAAGACTTTGTTTAAACAACAGCCACAAACCACTATGAAGATACTAAGAGAATTTACACTGAATGCTCTGCTATGTGACTAGCAACAAATAACTTCTATTCAAAAAATGCATGCATGAACTAATAGAAGAAAACACTAACCCACCAATTCCATCAAGGGAAGAATTTTCATAATTGTGATAACTGGCAAATAGGATTAAATGCAGCCCCAAAGCTTCTACACAGCAAAGAAAAGGTCAGCATAGTGAAGAGAGAACCTGGGCGGGGGGGATGTTTATCTCTGTCCACCAGGCCAGGCATTTGTAGCTAGAATACTAGAATACACAAAGAACCGCAAAAATTAAACAAAAAAAAAAAAGAAAACCAAGCCATTTGATTAGTAAGTGAGCCAATTACCTGAATAGATAGCAAAAACCAAGAAATCGAAATGGCCAATAAATAGTTGAAGTAATACAATAAGTAATGGGAAAGGTGATCAATATCCTTAGCCAACAGGGAAATATAAATTAAGCCTGTTTTAAGATTCCATCTCAACTCTAATCAGAATGACGATCACCACGGAAACACACACCAACAAGTGAAGAGGTATGTTGGGGACCGCTTTGGGGGTTGTTGGGAATGTGAACTGGGCAGGTCAACATACCACAGAGCCATTTGGAGGTTTATGTTTGTTATTGCACTGTTCCCAACAGTCAAGAAAAGGAAGCAGCCTAGATGTTTATCATCATATGAATGGATAAAGAAAATGTGTTTCATCGGCACACGAATCATTTGAATTTTTACAGTCACAGAGAAAAATGACATCGTGACATTTTCAGAAAAAGAGATGCAGCTGAAAAACACCGTGTTAATCAAAACAAACTAGATTCAGAAAGAAAAATCCCATGTTTCCCTCATATGTGGAGCCTAGACTTAAGAGTATATGTATGCATACATGCAGTATATATTTGTGTGTATATGTGGGGGGGTCATGAAACTAGCAAAGGACTCATTAGAGGAGAGCAAAGAATCTAGGGGAAGTGGGAAATCGGTAACGGAATACGTTGATAAGAAAGCAGAAAGAGAGACTCAGTGGAAGAAGAATGGGAACCGTCTGGAAGGGAAGGGACACAGAGAGGGGATAGTGGAGGAGGGAGAGGGTGACAACTGATATCGTGACACATAGTGTATGAAGGCACCATTGTTGAAGTCCACTGCTAGATCAACAAAGACAAAAACGTGTCATCTCAAAAGAGAGCAATTGCCGGTACTGCCTAACCTTGATGTTTAATGTCTGCTCATTCAAAGCCACATGCTATTTTAGTCAGCTGCACACTAAAAATAACTTGAAGAATAACTCAAACGCTAAGAAGCTAATTAACACTCCGAGTCTTACAGGTCTCAGGAGAAAAGTAATTCATTTTGACCATCATATAACCATCTTTGTCCAGACAAGTATAAAAAGACACTCAAGAAAAATCTTTGAAGCATAAAAATGCATTATTTTAGACTTACCTGAAAATGTGTGTTCAATAAGAAAGGGGAAAGCTGTCAGATTCCACCCTGTTCAAGAAGAGCTTGTTCGTGTGCTTCCAAAAGGGTGACAGTGGGTGGCAGGTCACACTGGCATGCGGTTTCTAGCGCGGGTATTGAAATAAGCATTGTGACAATTTCCTTTAGAATGTTTCATAGTTAAGGTGTACCAGAAATGGCATCCTTTTAAAACATCCAAACTTACAAGAAATAGTTTTAGGTGTCAATTTAAAAGTGTGAGACTAAGTACTACACAGTGCAATTATGTGAAAATCTAGAACAAACAGAGAAAGCAAGCCAGAGCAAGGCTGCCTCCCAAAAGATGTGGGCACAGATGTCCTTGGTAGAAGCACATGGAACTTTCTTGACGATGTCAATGCTCGGTGTCCTAAAAGGGTTTGGATATCTGCTGAGCACTGTCAAATGGTATACCTAAAGTCTAAACATTTTGTGGGGGTTAATTTTATTAGGGGAAAAAAACAAAACATAAGCAAAGTTTGGGCTCCAATGTCATCTATACTAGAGTTTGGGGTGAAACACTTGGAATGCAGAACGAGTAAGAGGTTACCAAGGAGACAGCTGTACAGATAGTAATGGAACCAAAGCAGGATATTTGCTGGGGAATCTATGTAGTGATGATATGGTGTTTGCCACCAAATACTTTGACTTTGCTGTACATCTGAAAATATTCATAATAAAATATTGCAGGGAATGGGCAAAAGGAAATATTTTTCATAATTATTTTTAGCACATGTCTGAGAAAAGTTAAAACTGATGATTGGTGAACTGTCACCTTAACCGTCCGGCACAAACCTCCCTCCAGTATCCCAACCATAGTTCCCACCAGATCCAAAACTCCGCAGATTCAAAACTGAATTTATTGTCTTTCCTCTATAGGGTGGGACCACCTCAGCTCCCAGTAACAGACACAGAGTTCAACACAAGCAGGGATTTTTCTTACCTAGCAAGAAAGATGGAAGTGGGGATGTGGTGTTGCTGATCCCACAGTCTGGTAGGGTCTTAGTAAGCAAGTCTGCAGTTCTCGTGACCATCCTTCATAGTCCCAGTAGGTTAGAGCACCATGGTCAGGCACCGTGTCTGGGTTCAAGAGAAGACAGGAATGATGGCTCTGATGATTAGCTTAAAGGCTAATGCCCTTGTGTTGACAATGTATCCTTTACTTGGATATTATTTGTCATTAGCTAGGATGCTCTCACCTGCAAAGACACGTGGTACACACACAGTACTGAAATCCAGACTAGAAGTGGAGAAATGGTTACTGGTTACAAGTGCTCGCTGCATGCATCTCCACAGGACCTGAATTCTGTTCCTAGCACCATGTCAGGTGATTCACGACCACCTGTAACTCCAGTTTTAGGGGATATGACCCTCTCTTCTGGCCTCTGAGGATACCCGCACATACATGTGTATATGCACACAGACACACATACACACACAGAGTGAGGGGAGAGGGAAGGAGGATGGAAGCGAGGGAGGGATGGAGGGAGATTTAAAAAATTAAAAGTAGACTTAAAAGTGACTTTAGAATTGGCTGACCGGATGATAGAGAAAAGTCATCTACAATCGAATTTTTTTCACCGTTCTGTTTTGTTGTCCTCAGTGTTGGATCTGTCCCCAGCTGGCACCAAGAAGGACACAGCAACTTCAAGTTAAAGATCCACATACAGGAACTATGAGAAGAGAGACCAACTGGTCCTCAGGAACCACCTCTCGTTAGCAACAATGCCTGCTAGTTTATTTTCTGAGCTACAAGGGAAATGGGATTGCCTTAAGGAGAGGAGAGCTGACTCCCTTATCTGAAGCTAGTCCTGCCGAGCAGCCTAAGACCTAACTTTGTGAAGGGAACTGTTAGGATTAATCGCACTCAAAAGTTTGATGAGCCCTAGAATCACCCTGGAGACATGTCTCCAGGCAAGCATGTAAGGGAGCAGCTTGATTAGGTGAGAAGGACTGTCCACTGTGGGTAGCATCATTCCCTAGCTTGAGAGCCTGGGGTAAGTCCAAGCATTCATAACTCTCCATTTCTTGACTGTGAATATGGTGTAGACAACGTGCCTCAAATTCCTGCCGCCATGACTTCCACCGTGATGGGCTGCATCCCTGGACTATGACTTAACGTGAGCCCTTCCTCTTCTTCCTTTGCTTTTGTCGAGCTAATCTGTCACAGCAACGGGAGAAGTCGCTAAGATATGGGTTGAGTGTATACTGCAGAGCTAAGAGTGTTACAGGAGGCACGTGATAAGACGTTTCTAACAAACGCACAAGGCTTACAGGATGGAAGAACAGTAGATTTATTATACATCATAATAGAAGTTCTGTTCCCAGAAATGACAGAATATAAAATCTCTAACTATTACAGACATAAAGCCAACAAGATGATACAACACGGCAGTATACCATCACTGCTCCCTGTTGATGTACTGGATGCCTACTGGGTAGTGGGGACTACTCACTAATTTTGTTCCTCTTTCAGAGCAAAACAGAGGTGACAGATAGAGCCTGTGTGACTGAAACTGAGGCTTCCCCTCTGCATACTAATGAGTCCTATCTTTGTCTCCAGTTCACTGTGACTACCAGAATCAGCACTTTCATTTTTCTTCTCATTTTCATAAACAAAATTCACTAGCTATTCAAAGATGGAGCTGGAGGCTGAGGGGGGTAACATGGTCGGTGCGGTCCTGGCTACCTCTTACATCATACTTCACACCCCTCACTGATCTGGGCGCTTTACATATCTTAACTTCTTGAGCTTCACAATTCTTTTAAAGCAGGTACTGCAATCTCCGTATTGAGATGGGAAAGAGAGGCCCAAGGAACATGGGGCAGCGTGGCACATTAGTCGACCACCTGCCCACTGCAGTTTGCTCTGATGCCCCCCTGACTTCCCTTACTTTGGCTATCTCTCTGACTCCTGCTCCTGAGCTAGGCTGTGCTTCCTCCCTCTGTCCCCCACCTATCCCTCCCTCCCCCACCTCCTTCTCTCTCTGCTGGGACTCTTTCTACAAATCAGGGTCAGGCCCACTTTTCCTAGGAAAGCCTTCCTTAGTCAAGGCAGAGACCAGGTTCTCACCCAGCACCTAAGACACCCACCATGCTCAGATAATTTGCTGACAGATCCGTGCCTGACTTCTTCTGTTGTCCCTGGGGCTTGCTACTATGCCTGGGCTATAATTGGCACTTAGAGTGTTGCTAAATTAATGCACCAGCTCCCTGATTTTACACTTCCCTGTCTCCCCCGTGCTGTCTGACACCACATATTGTAGACACACCACATATTGTAGACAGGACACTTAGTCAACTGGAGTGGGTGCCGCCTTCTCACCAGTAACCTAACTTAATAAAAACAAAGCAAAACAGAACCCGCCCCACCCCCATCTACACATCTCAATCTAGACCCCAAGAATGTGGAGTGCTATCAAGGCCCCCAGTCTGTCAAACCCGGTAGGATGTGGGAAGTCTGACTCCCCCTTGCTGGCCTGGCCGGCTGGGCTGGGCCGAGTGGGGAGCAGTGTCAGGACTCAGGGCCGCCGCCTGGTGCGCCTTCTCCCAGTTCTTGCCTATTAAGGTAAGAGTCCTCTAGGAACGCAGCGGCGGGAAGGAGGGTACCCAGCAGCGGCCTCCGCGCTTGGAGGACTCTGATTAACCGCAGTCCTGGATCTTCTGCCTGGCGCCTGGCCACTGGGTCTACTGGCTTCAGGTCCTACTTAGCTTTACCACCTGAAGTCACCTTCTTATGTTTTCATAGCCACCGAGAATAACTTCAGCCATGACCGCGGGCCTCAAAGGTGTCTGGGCACCCGATGCTGACTAAATGGATCCCGCTTCACGGGTGGGCGCTGCTCTCGCACAGATGCTCGGATAGCTACAGGAGCCCGCGCCCTTCGGCGCGGAGAAAGGTGGTGCCACCTCCGGGAGGCCGGAGTGGGTGCGCGGGACCCGGATCTCCACCCTAGGACTCCCCATCCCAGGCCAACTGGCCGCTCGCGTCCCGGGTCCCCGCCCGCAAGCCACGCCCACAGGTCACGCCCCTTCCAACCCGCCCCGCCCCTCCCGCCGGCGCCCGCC